ACTAGGTAACATCATCAGTGCTAGGAGGGAGAGAGGGAGGGAGGGGAGAGGAAGAGGAAGAGGGGGAGAGAAGAAGGGCAGAAAGAGGATTGTGGGGTCCTCGGTGGTCTCTGAACTTGATTGCTTTCTTGGAGACATTTCATTGCCAAACTAGGTAACATCATCAGTGCTAGAAGGAAGGGAGGGAGGAGGAGGAAGAGGAGGATTGTGGGGGAGAGGAGGAGGAATGAGAGGAGAGGAGAGGAGAGGAGAGGAAGGATTGAGGGGAGAGAGGAAGAGGGGGAGAGGAGGAGTTGAGGAAGAGGATGTGGGGTGTTTGATGCTCTTGGAACCTGATTGCTTTCTTGCAGACGTTTCATTGCCAAACTAGGTAACATCATCAGTGCTAAAAGGGAGAGAAGGAGGGAGGGGAGAAAAGGAGGAAGAGGGGGGAAAGGAGGAGGGGAGGAAGAAGACTGTGGGGTCCTCACTGCTCTCTGAACCCGATTGCTTTCTTGAAGATCTTTCATTACCAAACTAGGTAACATCATCAGTGCTAGTTGAGTCTTAGCTCTGATGAGGTTACCTAGTTTGGTGATGAAACGTCTGCCAAGAAAAAAAAAAGCCCACTAAACTCGGAGGGCACCAAGGACCCCCACAGTTCAAACCTAAATCAGAAATATTCTCCTCTTATTGATTATCCCCTCTAATTTAGCCTTTCCAACCTGGAAGTAGCAGGACGACACCTCCCCAAATTCCCACCTGGTGAGGTCTTTCAGGGAAGTTCTGGGTGAAGTATAGTATAGGGGCTACCTGGCTCAATAGTAGTAACTGTGAGAGGGACCTCGGAGTCCTAGTGGACAATCACTTAGATATGAGCCAGCCGTGTGCTGCAGCTGCCAAAAAAAGCCAACACAGTGCTGGGCTGCATTAACAGAGGGAGAGAATCAAGATCACCTGAAGGGTTAATACCACTTTACAAGGCCTTGGTAAGGCCACACTTGGAATACTGCATGCAGCTTTGGTCACCACGATGTAAAAAAGATGTTGAGACTCTAGAAAGAGTACAGAGAAGAGCAACAAAGATGATCAGGGGACTGGAGGCTGAAACATAAAAGGAACGGTTGCTGGAATTGGGGATGTCTAGTTTAAGGAAGAGAAGGACGAGGGGGGACAGGATAGCAGCCTTCCAGTATCTCAGGAGATGCCCCAAAGAAGAGGGAGTCAAGCTACTCTCCAAGGATCCTGAAGGCAGGATGAGAAGCAACGGATGGAAACTAAGCAAGGAGAGAAGCAACCTAGAAATAAGGAGAAACTTCCTGACAGTTAGAACAATTAACCAGTGGAACTACCTGCCTCCAGAAGCGGTGAATGCTCCAACACTGGAAGTTTTTAAGAAGAGACTGGACAGCCCTTTGTCTGAAATGGTATAGGATCTCCTGCCCGAGCAGGGGGTTGGACTAGATGACCTCCAAGATCCCTTCCAACATTATTATTATTATTATTATTAACAACCTGCCTCCAGAAGCTATGAATGCTCCAACACTGGAAGTTTTTAAGAAGAGACTGGACAGACACTTGTCTGAAATGGTATAGGGTCTCCTGCCTGAGCAGGGGGTTGGATTAGATGACCTCCAAGATCCCTTCCAACTTTATTATTATTATTATTATTATTATTATTATTATTATCATTATCATTATCATCATCATCATCATCACTATTATTATTATCATCATCATCATCATCATCACTACTATTATTATTATTATTATTATTATTATTATTATTATTATTATTATTATTATTATTACTACTACTACTATTAAGGTCCCACCATCCCCACCATCTCTTAAGTCTCCTTCCCTCAATACGGAGAGGGTTCAGAAAGACCCGTTGTCGTATTCGGAGGGGCCTTCTTGTGATTTTGTGTGTGTGTGTGTGTGCCTTTAGATTCCTCCAAGGCTGCTTTCGCTTGTTCCTGTTCGTTCTCTCTCTCTTTTTTAAACAAAATCTCTCTTTTATTAGACAAGGTGCTTCCCAGCGACCCGGGAGTCCTCTGGCTCCTCGTCATGCACTACAGCGAGTCGTACACGGCGCCCAAAATGCCGGAGCACGTCCTGCACCTCTTCCACACGGAGCTGGGCCGCCTGCCTTGGAAGGAGGTTCACCCGGATCAGCACCTGATGGAGAAATTCTTTAAGGTAGCTGCTCCCCCCGGCTGGCCAGGACAGGGGGAAGGTGGGGAGGAAGGAATGGGGGGGGGGCTCTCTTAAGATCCCGGCTTCGTTCTCGCTTCTGCCGATCCTCCCAGGCCCTTTTCTAATCTCTTTTGTTTGGGGACCCGTCCCTGGAATATAGGGGGGAAAAACCAGTCCAGCAAGGCTTGGTGGTGGTGGAAAAGGGTGCTTGGAAAGAGGAGCCGAGTAGAAAATCAGAGGGACGGGAGGATGCCTGATTTTACTGAAGGTCTGAAGATCTTCCTCCCTCCTTCCTCCTCCTCCCCCCTCCCTCGCTCTTGTCCTTCTTTCACTCCTTCCTTCCTTCCTCCTGTCTTTCCTTCCTTCCTTCCTTCCTTCCTTCCTTACTTACTTACTTACTTACTTACTTACTTATCCCTTTCACCCCTTCCTTCCCCTTCTTTCACTCCTTTCCTTCTTCCCTTCCTCCGTCCCTCCCTCTTCTCCCTCTTTCATTCTTTCCTCCCTCCCTCCCTTCCTTCTTTCCTTCCCCTTTCACCCTTTCATTCCCCTTCTTTC